GCAAAGAATAAAAAAATACTAAATATTTAGCTACTGGATCTATATAAAATGTCAGAGAATTGATATGCAAATAGAAACTGGTTTCTAATCTAATTGGTGACATTAATTTATATAGAACAAAAGCTGTCCTAGGCCCTGTGCTAACTTCAGACTGGGGACTTTATAGTACTGAATTTGACATTATGTTTTTGTTCTCTTCAGTGTCTGAAAGTGTCTCCACTCAATCTGTAAATGACCTGTCTGGTTTGGAATTCTGGAAGCCTGATTGCTCAACCATCAGCATTTGTCAGCAGCTTCAGAAAGAATTTACCAAGAAAATTGAGGCAAGACCCTTCATGTGCATCACTTGGGGAGTACATGAGCACATGGGGGACAGCTTGACTTGCACCACACCATTACATTTTTTAAAGGGGGTTTGTTGTGATATTAAGCAGTACTGAACATATTACAGGGTTATTTTTTCCTAAAGTGAAAATAATCTGAATTTCATGTTAAAACATCCTCTTAGAACCGCTCCCGGAAAATGGATAATTTTAATAAGCAAACACTGAGAGCTGCCCATCAGCATTTGTCAACAATGAGTTACCAACTCCATGAATTCAGGTCAGTAATGGCAGATTTCTGTTAAAACACCCTTAAAATATAGTGAATACCTTCTGCAAGTAACCTGGTTTGTTTTGGTAGGATCAGGCAGCTGGACAAATTTAATTCTACTCTCATTGAGGAGCTTGAGAAATTTGAAAAGGACTCGCAGTCCCTGAAAATCATGGAAAAAGAATTCTCGGTTTGTATTTTAGTTCTTTGATCATGGGTAGAAGGGAATTCTTGTGGAATCTGGAGATCATTCACATCATCTTTAATATCATTAATGTTGATTTTCAAAGCTTATACCTTTTTGCTTCCAGCTGGGTCAAATTTCAAATAATGCATTTGGGGTGTCAGGATGATCTTAGAATCCCAAGGTCACTCTGTATTTTCCTACATGTATCCACTACATTAACTCCTGTATATTTTTCCTCTGTGTTGAGTCTGTGGTTGTCATTTTGTTCATATGAGAAATTAATGACTTTTAGTTTGGAAAATCACTTCCCATTGATTAATATTTCTTAATATTTTTCTTTCCAGACCTTTTGGAAAAAGCATTCCCACACTTTTAGTACGTACAGGAAAAATGAGCAGCAGAGGTCAGTAGGGTTCACTAATCCTGGGATGAAATTTGTGTTCTGCTCACTTGAGGGAGATCAGCACAACTTCTATTCTCTCTGCAACTTCTTCCATAAAAGAGAGGTGGTTGATGAGAAAATGAGATTAAAATGTTCACGTAATTATTCTCCAGCTAAATTTCTCCACATAGCTGAGGGACTGTTCAGCAGTAACAATGATGGGGATATTTATCCTTTATTTATGCTTTAAATGCAAATACACTCCCAACAATGGGATGTATTTGTGCTCTTTGTAGGAAGCTTTTATGTAGCAAAGCTGTTTGAACTGCCTTTATTTCTTTAGAATTCAGAGTCTTAAAACTTCATTTGAAAAGAATATCTACCATTCTATTGGAAGTGAAGAAAATGTTTTTACTTCAGAGGTATGGTGAACTTCTCTTTTGTTCTTTGTAATAATTGCTCAGTTGTACCCACAGATACCAGTATTGACTTTTTTTCCTGAAGATTTTATCCTCATTGTATTAATCAGACATAATATTTTTTTTTAGTTTTTGCTGTAAAATGTCCCTTAATCTCACAATATCCAGTGTTTATGCTAGATTTCACCCATTGCAAGGTGTGTGCAGTTATCAGGACTTATTCTGTATTCTGTGACTTTGTTTACTGATGTTACTCATCCAAAAAAGAAAAAATTTAAAACATCCTTTTCCATAGGCAGGTGGCTGCATGTGCTTCTGTATCTCACGCTTGTGACATATTTAGGGATATCATTGTTTCCTTGAAAATGTGGTGACAGTTGTGAGCAGAGGGGTTGCATTCAGTGTCTTTTTGTAGATGCATCTGATGAAAGAAGACATAAAAGGACTCCAAGAGAAATTTCTAAAAGAAATGGTAAATCAATTTATCTTGTCCTCCTTTTTTATTTATTTTTTGCAGCTTGAACACTAAATTACTAAAATTTTGATTTCTAGTCCCCTATCAAAAATAAAAGTTAATCAGAATGCAAATGTCACTGACTTGCTATATTTAAAACCTTACCTAAGTGATGGGAGTCACAGGGAGATGTGAATGGACTCATTAAGTTCTGTCTTAATGTTGAAAAGTATCATCTTTGATAGACTAAGCAGCATGTACAGTGCACCAGGATTGCAATACATGAAATAAAATCTGCCTTTTTTCAAAAGCATGTGATAAAAGTGATAAATGTAACTTTTTTTTTACAGCAAGAAGAGGAGCTGTGTAATGTTCGTAGGGGATTGCAGACCTTGTTTCAATCAAAGGCAGAATTCTGAAGTGATTTTTCAGATTCCTTCCTGAAATTCAAGGTGAATATAAACACTTTTTTAATGGAAAATTTGGTACCTTTTTTTCTGTCATACTCAAGGACATTACTGTAATGAAAGCGTATTTTCTTTAATAATACTAAAATCTGTGTGCATAAGATTTACCCACTCACCTGTGAGATTTGGAGATATTTTATTGAGTCTGCTAAAATGTAATATTCCATTTTATTTTTAGCACATGCTACTTTTTAATAAGTCTTTATATAGGTTACTTAATTGACTTTCAGATAAATCACTTTGAATTTCACTTTGAATCTGTGATTTGTGTCTGATCCAGGATACAAGTCAGGAATTATTCTGGGACCAAACCACACCTGGTTTGATCTCAGTCCTGTTAGTCTGTGGTGTTAGACTTCAGCAAGATTTTCTGAGAGAACACTCTCAACACTTGTGTTGGAACTGTGTTGCAAATAGTTTTATTAAACAAGTCAAGAAAAACAGATGCTCTCTGTTCGGTTTTTTCCTCAATGCCATGGTTGTTTTGCTTTGAATCAGTATGAAGTCAGATAAAGCTGCTCTGCAAATATTTTGGGTAAGAATTTTAAACCTACAAGGCTGTGTTGTCTCTCTGGAAATAATTATACTGAAATTTCCAGTAAATAATTTGGTCCACTCATCCCATTTACATCAGTGTATGAATGTTTTCTGAACTTCTGTTTTTGTGTGGTTTGGGGTTCTTTTGAGCCTGTGCTCACTGTGATCTCCACTAGATGGACTCCAAGAGATGTTAAACTTTTCTTTCTACTGCTCTGAATTTCATCTGAATGAAACAGGACTTATCTCTAAACAATCCATTTTAAAAGTGCACTGCAAGGCCTAAATTCTTTCATACAGTGAGGCCATGTGAGAAAATAATACTCCAGCCTTGTGTTTAGTTATTGACAGGAGTTGTGCACTGCGGGCCTGTTTCCCTTTCCCATTTGGAGGAAGAACAGCCTCCCTGAGCCGAACATGCCCTCTGAGGTGTGATCCCAAATTCCAGCACAATCCATAGCCCAGGGAATGTGCAGACACCTCCACAGCCCCCCCAGCAGCAGGCAGGCAGTGCTGAGTGCCAGGGCTCAGTGGCTCTGGAATTGTCACTGCTTGTGCCTCCCCAGGAGCAGAGCAGAGACCAGGCTGGCTGAGGAAGGATCAGAGCGTGCAGAGGACAGAGCCACTCATTATACCCCGGGCTTCAGCTGCAGCAGTGACACAGCTCAGGGGCAGTGTTTGGCATTTCAAACCTGCTCCAAGTTACCCTTACTATATTTTTGGTTTTCAACATCATTTTAATGTGTTTGTATCATATTTATTGCCAGTGGAAGTGTGCATCCCTGCTAAACAGGACATGCTGTACATGGGTTACTAGCCAAGTTTAATTTGTAGTTAACAGTGGCTCATCTCAAACTGAAAATGCTTCTTTTGCTGAAGAAACTTTGCTCTCCTTTCAGTTTAGCTTTTTTGTATATTGCACCTGGACTATCATTATAATGTTGTTAAGAATTAATCCTATATTATTAATAAAAAAGTGATAAGCTATATGTGTATGTTAAAAGGCTAGTTATGATGTTACATATTTCTGTGAAAAGCCAGCAAGTTAAAAAATTACAATAAAGAGGAAAAAACACATCTTTGGATCAAGTGATGGGGTCATTCAAGTCTTCAGCTGATACTGAAGTAAAACAAGCATTAAAAATGTTGCAGTGTATGTCCTTACCTTGCATTCCTGCCTAACAGTTTCTCCAGGAGCAGCTCCAGTTCCTGTGATTCCATCCCCACCTGGGACAGAACTGACACTCTGTGTGGGGGCTGTTCCCCACCTCACAGCAATTCAGTAGTAGGCTATACATTCACTTTGACAAGACTGCATTTTATTATTTTCACACTTCATGGAGATCATCTCAATGAAGCTACAGGACCAAGAATGCCTTTTTCAAGTTTTTAACATTGAATGACTCCCTAGAATGGCAGCACTTCAGAGTCTTGCAGAGAAATGTTTGTCTTGTGAGTGGATTCACGATTTTGTTCTGTCTCATCACATGTGATTCCCAGCTATCACTGTGTTATTTTTCTTACAAGTATTTTTTGTAGTAGTATTGAGTAAATCCTCAGGTGCTTCTCCATGTCAGGCATTATTAAAATGTCTGGCTTTACGTTTTTCTCAACCAGTTCTATTTGCTTTGTTATTAGTATATAGTAACTTTTTTCTTCTTACTGTCAAGAAAGAATTAAAACCATTTGTTTGCTAAACATCAAAGTACATTGTGACATTTCTGCCTCTGGTTGTCCAACTTAGTAATTTGGAATAACAGTGAACCAAATTGTCATTTTTAGAGGGTCAGAGCCTTGGTGCAGAGTGACAACCAGCTTATGCTTTTCCACCAGATGGAAAATCTTAGTTGAGATCATCCTTTTGCAGACCCTGTGTTGATGAAGTCAAATGGTTTGGTGCATAATAATTCTAATCTCTTCCCAATTATCCCTGGGGAAAAAAAGAGCTTTAGGAAACATGTTCATTTCCTGCAATAAGTAGTCATTTAATTAAAGAACAAAAGTAACAGGAATCAAAAATGCTTGCAGCTGTGATTCTGTTAGACAGTATATAAAAAAGAATGAAATTATAATACATTAAATTAGTTTTTAGAACATGAACTTAGGTGTTTTACAAACTAATTGTGGTAAGTTCAAAATGTCTTGTCAGCGTAATACTGGATGACAGAGCGTCATGTCCATTTATGTCAGAGGCCTTGGAATAGTAAAGCCTGTACATGCACAACATCTCCTTTTCCAAGGCAGCCTGCAAACCAGTTCCACACAGGTGGCAAAGGAGAGGAGGAGGCTCTTCCAAGTAGCTTCACTTCAGTCTTTTTCAGCAGCTTGTCCCACTCCACAGGCCAGACTCTTCTGCCTCCAGAGCTCGGGGCTGGCGTCCTGTCCCCAGGTGCTGCAGAGGCTTCACTGCAGAGTCCTTTGTCACATCAGCGTCCAGGGAGCCTGCACTGAACCTCGGGGAAAGGCTTCAGTGCTCCCTGATGTGTGTTCAGCAGCAATATCAAAAAGTAAAGACAGATTCTTCTCAGAAGAAAATTCCTATGGCCTATGAAATCTAAGAGAAAAGAGAGACATTTTTCAAACCACTTTGCAATAGAATTCAATTATTTTTGATTCAAATGTTTTATGCTAGATTAGCAAAATTTTAAAAGCCCACAAAAGTATTCATTCTGTTTAAAGGTACAGTGACAGTGCTGAAGAATATTAGCAACTCTTAATTTTCCCCAGCACATTCTCACCCCTGTGCCACGACTGCAGTGCAGGTACAGTCCTCAGGGCCCAGTGTACATCCTTTACACTTCTTTGGGAATGAAATTGCAAATCCAGGTATGCAGTTGATGTGGTTTTTTTTCTTTTAGTAAATGAAGCCACAGTTTCTCATAGGTAGCAATATTCTTCATTGTGCAGTGATGTTGTTCTTTTTTAAGAGTTAAGCAATGCTGAAATACTTTGTAAAGTATGAAGAGATACTGTTGGTGAAATGTTTGATAGTCTTGTGAGTCTGGAATAAATATTCTTCTTGTTCTGTATGCTTGTTCTTTTGGCTGAGCTCCATAATTAGGCCCCAATCATATGTAATACCCTAGCACTAATTGTAAATTGGAAGCCTGTTTACTCCTAATATCCTGAACAAATTTCAGAATCTCTCATTATCATCTACTCAAACTCCCCAGGCAGCTCCAATTAGGGAATGTATAGTTCACTTCCAGACTGAAACTGCAGCCCTCCCTTCTCCCTTCCCACCTTTCATTCCACCAGTGCAGCGAAGCTGCTTTGCCCTTGATGATGCCTTTTTGCAAGTACCAAAGGCTGTGGAATCGGCCTCTCATATTGTTCCTCCTCTAAAAGAAGGGAAAGGAATGTCTTGATGTGTGTTTAAACCCAAACACATCCCTGGCACCAGTGCTGGCACATGGGGCAGGCACTGCCCTGACCGGGTTCCCAGTGGTTCAAGCACGTGGAGAGTGACAACAATCCAGCCCTGCTCTCTCTCCTGACCTCCTCCTGGCAGGGAGTTAAGTGCCATTAAGTTACCTGGGGCTCCTTCCAACAGCAACTGCACTGGCAGGCAATACTGAAATCCCAGGCTGAATCCTTTAGAACAAATCCAATTAGAACAAAGGCATCACCCCTGGGCACTGGCCTGTTATGATTGGTGCAGTTCTGTATTTCTGAGCAGGGAATTTTCAATGTTTGTGATAAGGCTGCAGACTCAAGTACATTTAGTTCAGAGATCTTTAAGCAGTGTATTAAGTTGTTCTGCTTTAAAAAATCATATTGTTTTCTGCATTATATACTTTTTTTTTTTTTAACTATCCTTTAATCTTTTGTGCAAGGAATGCCAGCTGAGGGAGGCTCTGGAGAATGTCTGCAGGTTTCTTGGTATGTGCTAATAAAATCCCCCCAAAAAATCAGAAAATTGGGCTCTCTTCAGAAAAAGAAACACTCCAATTTTCTTTTAATATTAACCTCCCTTTGCATATTCTCCCACATCCAACATGTAAGAGTGAAATCCACAGGTTCAGGAGTCAAGAAGAGTTTTTAGCAGGCAGCAGAAATAAACAGCTGGAAAACTGACCTTGTCAAATGTTTGCTCGATGCATGAACCTCCATTTCATTACTTTTGTACTCATTCAGCTCTTTTCGAATTGCTGCCTAGGAATTGAAAAGAGAAAAACACAAACAAATAATTTTGTGTTTGTGAGCAAAATCCTAGACCTGCAGAGCAGAACAGTTTTCTGGGGTAGAAGAACCAAGTATTGGGTATAGCAGAGCACTCTGGGATACTGGTAGAAATGCTGAATATTTGGGTTGTATGGATTGGTGACACAATACTTCTCATTTGGTATTGATTGCTGACAGGGTCACTGCTGTCTAGAAGCAATTCTGACAGAATAACACCTCAGAGCTGGTTGTCTCACATTTAATAAGAATCCAGTTAAAATTTATTAAGGATTAGGAGAAGCTGCCAAGAAATTGATCCATTTTTCAGTCACAAATGCAAAGGTGCAGCTCTGACCCTGACTTCCTGACGTGTGCCACCAGTATGTGCAGAGCTGTCACTTTCTTAAACCTGCCTTGTTAATTGTAACATGAACACTGACACGGTAAAACCAGGAAAAGGCTAAAAAAAGTACATACAAGGAAAAAATAAAATCCTTATTCTGATTATTACTATGGAATAGCTTATTCACCATTTTAGAGAGCTTGGGAGAGCAGCTACTGGAGTAGAAGTGCTCTGGTCTTTTTCTATGAGTCCTCTAAACCCATTTGTCCCTTAATGGGGAGACACCTTTTTGGGTGGGTGGGTAAAAGCCTTTTGAGTACTAAATAGGCTTTTTTATGACATTGGTATGATTGCAACATAAAAAATCTTGGTAAAGTTTACAGAGATGAAATGTTGCAGAGGTTCAAGTCTGTGGAGAATGTGATGTACCATTACAAAGTAAGGAGAAAGCAGAACTTTGTGGTTGTGTCAGTACCTTGTCTGCTGCTGACAGTCGTGTCCATGGTTTGTCTGCTCTCCTGTCATAGTCCTGTGCTTTTGCCACTTCCACATAATCACTGAACCGAATCAGGATCTTTCTGTCCCTCAGTTCATCAACTGTAGGTCTCTGGTTAAGCTGTATTCAGAAGTTTTGTGAAATAAAACCAGGGTTAATAACAAAAGAATCAGTAAAAACATGCAATATTTGCTTCTTTTCATCTTGGCTCAGTGTGCATTTACAAATATGAAAACAACCCAACCCTTGGAAACTCCAGGGAAATATTTTACCATTTGGAGAACTGCTAGAAGAGTAATAATGGTTTAAATGGAGCTACAGTGCCTTTATAATGAACAAAAGAAAATATTTTAACCCAGATATTGATAAAATATATTTTCAAAATGTAAAGAATCATGATGGATTTTTTATGATCTCCAGATGATTCCAGATGCTGTAGGATGTTCTACTACAGGCAGAGGCAGATTGTCTGTGTGAGATTCTCAACACTAGACCCACTGTAAAAATTTCAGTCTAGCTTGAACGAGTTATCAGCATATTTGGTCTGTAATTCCATTAGGGATTTCTAAGAACAGAACAACAAGATCTTGTTCTTATTCTGAGGATATTTTGAATGCAAAAAGAAATGTACTATGGGAGCAGACCTGGTGTTCAGCAGGGAGTCAGCTCTGCTACAAAGAATAAAAAAGTCCTTTACCAGCAAAGGAGCTGACAAATATGCCATAATACCCATTTTCTGAGTAAGTTTATGTGTAAATATTCTACTAAATCTCATCTAGCTGAGACAAGGTAGGTATGTCTATAATTGATATTACCAGACACTGCTGAGGAGGATGAATATTAAGGGAGGTTGTGTAATAAACTCCATGGCTTATATCATATTATAATAGGGTGATATATATTATATTATATTATATTATATTATATTATATTATATTATATTATAATATAATATATAGGGTGATATTATAGGAATTTTGCTAAATTTCTAAAAGGTAATAGGAGGTATTGCAAGATTTTACCTTTCTTGTCAGTCTCTGCTTGATTTCCCTCCTCTCTTCCTGTTCCGTTTGATCATTTCGTTCTGCAGAGAATATAAAAAAAAAGATGACTTTCCTCATGAAGAAGTTTGGTGTTTTCCCAAGTTCCAAGCAACAATGAGCACAGCCCAACGAGCGGCTGGCAGTTGTGTGTTTTGGTAATTCAGTGCATCTCTGGTGTGTGTTGGAGCACGGAGTCACCTCTCGGTGAGGACACCGTGCTGGTGCCAATGTCAGCTCTGAACTCCACGGGGATTCAATGAAACAACAGCAGCCACACCAACGCTCCACTCGGATAAACTTCAGCAGGAAAATCAAAACGCTCCATAGTTGATCAAAAACACTCCATAGCTGATCAATCATCCTTTTTTACTCTCCATCTTGCTGGAGCCTTTCATGCTGTCAGATGCTCATTGCAGCACTCCAGGGAGAGCCCATCGTGTCCTCAGCCCTGCTCTCTCAGGCTGCATCACTCGTGGCACTGGCTGGCACCTTGGCTTTCCCTGGCATGAGACCTTTCCTCCTGCCAGGGTTCCTGTGCACAGCTCTGCTCTGAGCTCTGTGTGTTGTGCCTATTAACATTCCAGCCGTGAGAACTCCTACACGCTGCCTCTAAAAATAGCGCCGAGCGCTGTAACACTGAGACATAGATCCCCTGCCTTAGGAAACGAGTTAATGGCCTTTCTATTCCCAGTACTATCTGTTACTAAATTAAGGCCTGAGCCCGTGACCTGAACAAAGCTGCAGAGCCAGAGAAAAAGGTTTAACCATTCAGGGAATCTCTGGGTACTACTGTGAGGTTTATTATACCACTCGCATTAGATATTTCCAGTGTTAAAGCACACACGTGATTTCTACTATGCCTCCAAAACCCACTAGCACTGCAGATGGATTTCCAAGATATTTTTAACAATGAAGCATTTTTCTCCCTGATTTTTGCACTCGTTAGATGACACTGAGATGCAATCAAATCTATTTAAAATAACAGAAGTGCAGAGCTCCACCTGGCTAGGGTAGAAATGTAAATCAAATGAATTTAAAATGCTATAATGTGCTGCATTACACTGCATTACACAATTCTGTGGCGAGGCACAAAATGTAAAGAGAACAGGTCAGCTAAAATTAGTGCTGTGTCAGGGATGAGCAGCTATTTCAGTCTGCAATGTGTAAAAGGAGAACAGGCTTTCAAAAGTAGAGGGTATTCTTAGATATAGAGACACCTGCAAGAGGCTATTCATTCAGCTCTAATTCATCCATTTTAGAGTAGATATTCCTATTTTGTATTCTTGTTTTATGAAAAAGAGATAATTTTCTGTGGTGTAGTGCCTTTTAAAGATGTGATGTGATATGCAGTGAAAGAACTGCCCAGAGAAGATGTGGCTGCTCCAACCCTGGATGCCTTCAAGGCAGATTGGATGGGGCTTGGAGCAGCCTGGTCCAGTGGAGTGTCCCTGCCCATGGCAGAGGCTGGAACATGATGATTTTTAAGGTCCCTTCCAACCCAAACCCTTCTGTGATTCTACAATTCTAATTCCCAAAGAAAAGCCAAAAATAAACATTTCTGATCAAAAAATACTTTTGCAAATGTACTAAATGTGTAGTCACTTATTTCTATTCACTTGGGTTCAGTGCTTATTTCCAGCTCCAAAAATAAAAGAAATAGTTCTCTTACAAAAACAAAAAAACAAAAAACCAAAAACAAAACAAAACAAAAAAAAAACCCAACTGAGATTTGATATTCAATGCTGGCAAAGGAATTCTAAAGCTCAGGAATTGTTACTCAGGCAGCCCAGAGAGGCTTTTCCCATCACCATCCTTCTGCCCACACAGATCCATTCATTGCTGAGGGCTAGCTTTATAAATCTCAGCAGAGATGCTCCCAGTGCTGAGGGGGCCTGTGCAGAGCTGGAATTCATTCTGAGCTCTGTGTGACACTAAAGCATCTCCCTGGGTTCAGAATGAAGCAGGGACTGCACAGTGGGGCTCAAGAGATGCTTTCTTGGCTGTGAGTTCAGCTTTCTGTTCAGCAAGGACACAGGTGACACCTGGGCTGTGAGTTTAGTTCATTTGCTTTTCATGCTTGGTGGGAAGCCAGCAGTGTTTCTATGGTTAAAGGACTTGGAAAATCAAACCAAAAAATTACAACAAAATTTTAAGAAAGTGCTGGCTTTCAAGTTTGCTTTTTAAGTATTACTTTTATCTCAGAAACAACTCCCTAAAGGAGATAAGAAATCACTTTTTGAAATCTTGCTGAGATTTGCTTTAAAGTTACAGTGGTTGTACTTTGCAATATGCTTCTCTATTTTTACCAGAGTTGTACAAATGTGAATTCTGAGTCCATAAAAGAACTTCTGACAGGAGTACCAATTATGAACATCAATTAAAACTTAAAATTGCACAAACCCTTATTACAGCTGGAGGAGGTTGTGGGGATTTCACTGAAAGGCTTTTATACTGCTACAGCTATACAGGATGCTCAGCTTTTATAATAATGGCAGAAGTAAATAAAATGGAAGTGGTTCTGATCCCAGCTGAACCTGTATAAAGCCTGAGCAACTCAACAGAAGTCAATAAATTTGCTCCATGCTGGGAGCTCTTTAAATGAGATACAAATCTAGACCAGTATGTTTAGCTGGTATTCAGGAAGTATCTTTAATTCTGCTTTATCTTCTTTCTGCTTTATCTCTCTCTAAGCTTATTATATGAATGTATTCAAACTTTTTTATTATTAAAACTGGTCAGTTTAACCCAGATTAAGGATGTAACCAGCAACACTTCAAAAAAGTAAACACAAAGGAACAGATTTTTTCAGTGGAGATCAGCTTTTCCTTAGCCAGGGGAAAAAAAAAAAAAAAACAAAAAACCAGATTTTCAGAGATCTTCATTACTGACTCTTGAAAATCTGTCTCCACATAGCTCAGGATCTTGGGTTACTGCATTTTCCTGCCTCTCTGGTAGATGACAGGTGAAGTTTGGCCAAGTTCACCCACTCATGTTGCAAAGAGGTTTCCTTTTTCTCCCTGAGCTGTGCACATGCAAAATAGAGCTCATTTTACTGTGTGTGATCTGTGCATTGGAACTGTACAGAAAACACTGCTAAATATACACTGCCTGTGGAATCCCTTTGTGTGAAAACTGAAATGAAATCCCAAATCTCTTCAATGGCAAGAGCATAAGGTTTTTCCCTAGGAATCACTAAGTTTTGAGACACAAAATTTTAGGTAACACAATGCTGATGACTTTTCGCCTAGTGAATTACAATCACATGGTTAAATACAAATCACACAGTGTAGGCAGCACTGCTTGTGTGACAGATTTCTGTGGCTTTATCTCTTATGATTGTTTAATGAGAACCTATAGTTCACATCACTCTGGATTTTGTCTTTCAATGCTAAAGAGAATAAATAGCAGATGGATTCCCCCTTTTGAGATCCATAGTGGAGACAATTTCAAAGCTGTCTCTCACCTTCCCCTAATTCAGCAGTTTTAAGGGAAGGGATTATGTTCATCACTTGTTTGATCCCTTGGAAACACTCAGGAAAAGAGTTGCAAGTTTTGCCTTGTGAATTTGAGAGATGCTGAGAACACTCCCCTGTGGCAGCACCTGTAACAGGCCAGGGACTGTCCCTCTAATAATTCTGAAATCTCAGGCTGATCCTTGACTTGGTTTTGGAAGGTCTCCAGTGACACGAACAAAGTGACCTGGGAAGAATCACATCTCTGCAAGGATGCTTCCCCCTGCCACTCTATTGCCAGTGCTATTCAGTGTTTGCCCTGAAAATCCATGTCTTGAGAAATGTCACTCCAATTCTCATGGCACTGTGACACTAGGATTGTATTCCCCTCTCAGACACCAGTAACAGTGGGATCAGAATGAAAATTATTTGAAAGCCTGAACCTGAACGGTTCTTTTTGTCCTCAGATTGCAAGTCTATGTGAAAAAATAGAACTTTTAGGTACAGAAATGATCCCAGTGAATTAATTTGTCTATTCCAAAATAATATGTTCTGGAAATGCAATCACTAACTTCAACAGACATACAAAAAATATTTTAGAAAAAGAGAATACTCACGTTTCAGTATATTCCTTCTTTCTAGCTCCTCAACAGCAGGTCTTTGGCTGAGTCGCCTGCGGAAAAACACCAAAATCACATTTTGTACCATGCCTGTGCTTTGGAAAGTCTGTAGAATTCTGACTTCTGGTTGGTGTTTTCCTCAGGAGGGAACTACAAAATCTCTCTCCAGGACTCGTGAAGAAGGAAAAAAAAAAAAAAAGAATCCTGGCAGAGAATTCTTTCTTATATTGTTTTTCCCAAACGCCAGGAATGCAGGTAAAAGTTCTCCTCTAGTTCACTCTGCTGTCAGTGAAACGCTTCCTCGGAACCTGCATCCTTTTCATCACACTTTCCAGACAGTCAGCTGGAACCAGCACTCTCCAGAGGTAAAAATTCACTCTCAAGGTGGTTATCAAAGGAGTTTCACAGTGATCTTCTGCCTCTATCACTGCCTTCACCTCTTAATCACACACAGCAGCACGTTTCCTTTTCTCTACTCGCACCAGCGGAGCATCCTGACAAGAGGCAGGCTGGGCAGAAATGAAAATTTTCTGTGATTTCCCGAGTCCTCATCCCCCAGCTCTGCTCCTGCCTGCCGAGTGCAATTCGTGTGCTGCTCACAGCCCGGCTGTCTGCACGGAGTGTCTTGCTTCCACCTCCCCTTTTCAGTAGTGCTGCCTCAGGATTGACTCCTCAAATCATATGATCGGTGCCACAGCGATTTCATTGCGCATTGGAAATGAGCCTCCCCCACGAGGCGCTGGGGCATCTGCAGAGATCTCAGGTAATTGGAGCCCTCCCCTAGGCACACACACACTCACACACTCACACACACATTTCATGTCAGAATCCAGCCAGCAGATGGGAAAGAGTTCCCGATGCTTTCCTGGCAAGGCTGAGGATTCTCATCCCCTGCTCCCAGCAGATGTTGCCAAGCCGGAGATGAAGTTACAGACACAAAGAAACACTCAGAGCAGGGACCACACTGCAAACTGCTGCAGTTATTCCTCTGCTGGGCATGTACATGAATAACTATAAAGTCATGCTGTTACAGGGTCTACATTTTATCAAATATGGAAAAAATGAATTGTTAACACACTGGGGAAAAAAAAAAAAAAAAACAGTAAAATCACCTAATCCTAATTTTTTCTTGTTTTGTAAGCCCTACCCAAATATACCTTCCAAATCAGCTCTGTGGTCATATGTTATCAGACCACCCTTTTATAATTACACTCTCTGGAAAAACTCTCATCTTTGGCAACAGGAAGCACCACAACTACTGCACCAAATTCACACCAACAGAAAATGTAGATAGGTGAGCTCTTGTGCAGAAACACCTACAGCCTAACTCTCCCTTCCTAAAGCTTTGTATCACCTAAGGCTTTTCTCCTGACCTATGGGTCAGATACTCCAGCAGCAGAAGTTGCAATAATCCCAACTGAAACAGGAATGATGCTGAAACTAAAAGCTTTAAACTTGTATTTCAAATTCCTGTTACCCTTGGACTCCTCCCTCATTTCCATGCATGTATCAGAAATTACACAAGTCTGACTAGGTTTTGTTTGAAACAGATAAAGTGCATTTTGTAATAGAACGCCTTGGAGAACTCCTCTGCAAACAAAAGGTCCACCTGACCTGCTGCTCATATGCCTCTCTCTCAGACATTCTTAATTACAGCCCTGCCATGTGAGATTGATAGATTCTCCCAAATCTGTACATTAGATTTCAGAGGCCCCTTTTAAACTATGAGATTAAAAGCCTAACAGAATTATTAGAACTGTATGAGAATGCAAATGTATATGAATATTCTGTGATTCTGGGTAAATGCTCTGTATTTATATATAATATGTATGTATGATGGTTGATTATTTAAACTCCATGTCCCTTTTGGCTTTGATAAATACATGTAAGTGCTCATTTTTCTGTGCACACCCTCAGCATACCCCCAGCAGAAGGCAAAGGTGCAGACAAACACAGGAATATGTGCACATGAGAGCATTGCAGGGGTTTATCCTGGGCTTTTCAGAGACACAGACCACACTCCAAACTTTGCGTCACAGTCACAAGACTAGACACGGACTTTGGTTAAAAATAAATTTCTAACAGGGTTTCAGGAAGGTGGGGACAGAGTGAAAACACCAAGGACAGCAAGAATCACAATCAAACGAGAAGTGGCAAAAACCTCTGACAATGTTGTTATCAAGGTCTGGGGACATTTCGGGTCTGTTTGTAATTTCTGCTGTTCAGGAGAAGCCTCTCTGTGCCCAGAAAGAACTTTCACTTCCTTTCTGCTGTGGGGTGGCTGGGCCTGGGGAGCTGCTGAAGGTGAAGGGCTCCAGATGCCCTGACAGTGACGGGTCACGGGGGCTGGAGCAGGGCGTGGGGCCACACCGCTCTGCTGAGCTGGCCCGGGGGCACCTGGGGCTCCAGCCCCCCTTTCTGCAGGACTTCACTGCAGGCACACACTCTGCTGTGACCACGGTGGGCTGTGGCTGAGCCTCACCCCCCGTGGGCTCAGCTGTGCAAAGCAGGAGAGCAGAGAGGAGTGCCCAGGTGTGCTGAGCAGCCACACAGGAACAGGGCACACAGGTGCAACGCATCAACATGAGGGGATAAAAGGGTGGGCCGAAGAACACCAAGGGCAGACCCAGCCTTCTGAAGAGGTGTGGTGGGACTCTGTGTGGGCTGAAGCCTTCTGAAATTGTATGGGGACGCTCTGGGTGTCGTGGCTGTCTCAAGTGTGACACGTGCTGTGACATTTTATCACTGGTGAAGGGACCCCGCTGCCCTGTCTGGTCCCCCTCAGAGCGAGACCCCCTGGCCGCTGCAGGGCAGAGCCCGCCCTGCCGAGCTGCTGTGGGGATGGTGGGGGGACCCCACAGCGGGGTCTGGCAGCCCCAGGAACACCTGCAGGACCTGCCTGCAGGCAGCCAGAGCGAGGCAAGGACAGACATCTTCTGAGGAATCAGCAGAGCACCGGTCACCCCTGTGAAAATCCCTCCTGAAGGAGCTCTAATGTAAGAAACCATTTCAGGTGAGATTGTGCCTCTGCTTGGGTGAGCTTTCCTCTTTGTGCTGCAGGCTCTGAGCAACAGCTGCTCTATTCTGGATATTTTTTTCATGAATTCCCTGAAATCCTGTCTCTGACACACCCTGTGTGCTGAGCTCGGTGTGTTCCCTCAGAAGGGACTGTCCATCCCTCGGGAATGCCACCACACCTCAGGGACACCTGGCCTGGGGACGTGGCCCCGGCTCCCCTCAGCGCCAGGAGCACAGCCAGAACAGGTCACGGAGAGACTGAGGAACCACAGAAGGGATGCTCATATCTCATCTTCAAAGGAAACAAACTCCAGCTGAATAACAATTACCAGCAGACTGCAGAGCAGGGGAGAACCACACCGGTGTGAGGTTCTGGAGGATGAAACAGGCGCCCGCCATGAAGGAGCCTTTGTGAAGGCTGAGCCCTCAGTAATTATGGATGGTCCCCGCGGATTTTGCAGAGAGAATTCTGTATGAGGCAGGTGATTTTGAATCCGAGTTCTGCCTCGTTTCCTGTGGATCCAGCGCAGTCCCTGCCCCTGGGTGAGGAGGGCTCACCAGGGCCAGCCTGGCTCTTGTGCTGCCCAGCAGCCATGGCTGGAGGTGACATTGGAAGGCCTGAGGTGGACAGGAGGCTCCAGCACTGCTGCAACACAGCGTGGTCCTGGCTGGGTGAGTCTTGTGCTTTTCATTCCTGTTCTTTTTTCACCCAGGGACTTACAGCCCCACGTGGACTCACCTCAGCAAGGTGACTGCGAGCTCCATGGGGAACACTCACGTAATCCACCACTTCTGTTGTGTGACAGTAATGATTTCCTTTCAGCTGGTTTGGATAGCTATTTCTTGCTTCTGGGAAAAACAGCCAATTAATGCTCTTATGTTCTTGGGTGTTATGAAAACCTAGGTTTGGGCATTTCTGTGCTGCCTGGTGAGGCAGGAGTGCTCCCTCTGGGTAGCTGTGGGGCCAGCTCTTTTGGGGAAGGTCTTGAAAATGCTTGAGTTACTTGCAGGTTGGTCCTACCTCTGTCCAGCTTCCCCCACAGTGTCACTGGAATTGCCATGGTCTCATATTAAGAGTGCTCAGTCCAGGATTTTGCTTCCCTGTTAGTTGAACCAAGAGATGTCAAGAGCAGCAGTGAGTGCTGAACATGAAACTAGTAAGTGTGTGGGGGTAAAAGGGGATGGATACAACACTTTATGTGCAGCTATTTCTCATGTTCAGAAAAATTGCAAAGATTGTTACTGCTGTTCTGTGCAAAGTGAGCATAAACCTTCAAGCAGCAGGTATTCTGCAGTGGCTTGAAGCTTGGGGAGTATTCTGGGTGTATTTTCAGAATACATTCTACCTTTAGAATGCTTTCTCCAGTCATCTGGGCTCAGAGAGATGATAACATACATTTATTATAATCTCTGAGAAGCCAAAGACTTTGCTTGCTCCCATGTTCTCCCAGTGTTCCTCCTGGGGGTGAGAGGAGCAGGTCAATGCAAGTTATCTCAGTCACCTGTGCTTCTCCCCAGAACACCCTGCAGGTACAGCCAGCTGGGTCTCAAGGCACCTCAGGTGCTCGGAGTTTGCACATGGCCTCGAGGTGTTTGTTTTCCCAAGGTGCACATGGGAATCCTCTGATGTCCATGAGCTCCCTCGGCTCCCAGAGGGGCAGGGGAGCTGTGGTGCCTGCCTTTTCCTTTGGTGAACGTGTGTGGTGTGTAATTGCAGCAAAACAGGCTTCCCTCTGCTATCAGAGCCCTGCCAGGATCATGCTGGACATGAGCACAAGTGCAGATGTGGATTTGGAGTCTGGGGGAAGCCACAAATGGCTCTTCCCCTCTGGAGCAAGGTCACGTTTGTGAACGCAGCCACTCGCACACATGCCTCTGACTGCTGATCAGGAGATCAATATTTGCTTCACACTGCCAGATTGTCTCCTTCTCCCTGAAGGGAGTGAATGTCTTGGGACCACTGTTTACACAAGGGCTGATCATACTGGGCAGTTACAGGCGACTGAGTGCTCAGCAGGCTGAGATCTGCATGTCA